CCCCCAAATCATCAAACTTTTGATTTTGATTAATTTGAATAAAAGAATTTTTGTTTCAGAAGTACCACCTTACTATTGCTTAGACAAATATTATGTCAAATGTACAAGTTGGCAATTCATATATTCATAAAAAAATATCCAATCGTCATGGAAATGAAGTCCCTTTAGTGGTCGCTATACATAGGTTTGATTGTAGTAGCAAATATTCAATCGCACGGTCATCTATTGACTGTAAATATGATTGATTGATTTAAAATACTGCAATTATTTGAGATTGTGTGATTTATGCATGTAGTATTTAAATCAGCCAATGAAACTAATTCTCGGTACTCGATAACCGTACTTGATAACTGACTGACAATACAAGTATTTACTGTCAACACCATATTGTAATGAACACCAAAACAGCAACATTGCCAGTTAAGTTGCTGACTGATTTGCAATTATGATTATGACTGGTTAACCAAGTGCGCTGTCTGGCTGAATGCGTGAATTTACGAGCAAAATATGACACACACCGGATTCACAGGCGACTGTGTACTAACATTTCATACTGTGTCAGTACATACATTTTGTTTTGATAATTTTACTATATTAGCAATTTATACGAATGAATGAAATAAATTATACCGGTAAAAAATATTCAACATGTCCGCCACTATTAGTTTGTCATCTCCTGTTGAGGTTGGTATGACCCAACTTGTTCTAATCCCATACAATCTCCAGGCGCGCATAGCAATCCAGTCCGCAACTTGGCCGGCAATGATGTTTTGGTGTTTTGAGCAACAGTAACGTAGTGATAGGCTATTATGTGGTATTGAACTAAGATATCGCTTATTAAAACTAGAAAGCAACAGAAAATTAATATCTACTTATTTTATCTTTATAGACGAGGGATGATTTCTTAGGTCAAGTTGAGATGCCCTTGCAGACTTTACCAGTAAGTCCATCAATGTAGAGAATTATTCTTATTTGAGACTAACCATTCCATTTATTTGTGATATGAGTGCGAGGTCACTTGCCAACATGATTGATGTCTTGATCAGTTATGAGTGACAAGTAAAATTTTCCATAAAATCATATCTGCATTAATGTCTCACACTTGATTTGACTGATATCGATATATTTTCATTTCATTTTGTCAACGCATTATTAAATTTATAGAGGTAGGAAGCATAATGACATGTTCTCAGTCTCGGAGATTGAAAAAATTAAATATTCATTTTCATAAATGTACCTTAGCATCTGATTGGTTAGATTTCAGGTCATAGGTCAAAATTTCAGTGACCCTGGGTCAAAGTGAATTCAATACAACAAATGACAGATACTAGTTTTATAGCATCTGGTAAATTTAATCCAATCTGGGTTATTTAATTTGTCAGATGCACTTTGTCTTTCTTTGCAGACTGAGAATAGAGCAGGTGAACTCCCATATAAGGATTACATACTTCGACCCAGGAGGTAGGTACCGGTAGAATGTTCTTATTGCTTTCTTTCTTGTTTTTGTTGAAGAATTGTTCCAAGTAGATGATTGAAGCGGGATGGTGATCACCTGCGCATGCGTGGGAATTGGGTCCCAAGCGACGATAACAACACACGCTAAAAACGCAAAGGCTCATGGGTAGATGCTTGTTTGTAAACAATGACACGCTATGGCCATCTGTCGCATGCGCAGGTGACAGCTCCCCTGCTTTAAATATTACAGTTTGGTAAGGAGTCGAAAACATTATTCGGTATAGTGAAAATTAAAATGATACAAGTCAATTTTGTGTTTTTGTTGCTCTAGTTTTCACAGCAATTTTCTACTGAAATGTAGTTATGAAAATTAAATGATTTAATTTCCAATAAAAATATGAGAGGCGTTTTGCAGAGAAGTTACTATTGGATGTGATCTAAGCTCCACTACTGTGGTAGAGAAGCGATTGATAGCGATCATTTATTTTTTTTTTCTCCCATTTAAATAAATTTGTGAAAAATTTGAAATATGAATATATAAAACACTGACACGGTAGAAAGTCTGTCTTTCACTATGTAGAATGTCCATAGTTTGATTATTTTCATGATATTTACAGAGTAATTTTTTTCCTTTCCCAAGTGCAAGGTCAAGGGTGAAAGGTCATCTGCGAATTGTGATTGGGTACACACGTGATGAGAGTACGCAAGATGATAACATTTCTGAAACATCAACGCAAATTGAAGAGGTAAACAAATGTTTTAATTTTTGTACTGAACTTGTATTATTTTGAATTATGGATACCATCAATTTGATTATTGAAGTGAAAATTTGACTGTTACATCTGGGCACCATCAGTGTCAGGTGACATTCAGTAGTGTCAGGTGACAGCCAGTAGTGTCAGGTGACAGCCAGCAGTGTCAGGTGACAGACAGCAGTGTCAGGTGACAGACAGCAGTGTCAGGTGACAGCCAGTAGTGTCAGGTGACAGCCAGTAGTGTCAGGTGACAGCCAGTAGTGTCAGGTGACAGACAGCAGTGTCAGGTGACAGCCAGTAGTGTCAGGTGACAGCCAGTAGTGTCAGGTGACAGCCAGTTCAAATATCCATAAAGCATTTGTAATATCAATAAGTAAAATAAAGCATAATGCTAGAGTTGAACAGAAGCAAATAAAATTCTTGAAATTACTATTCTGATATAATTTATTTTTGTTGAAGTAGCCTGGTTGGGAGGTGCTAGAAATAGAAAACGAAAATGAGGTACAACAGAATTCTACACAACCACCGCTACCTGCAGGATGGGAAGAGAGAGTGGACAACAACGGCAGGGTATTTTTTGTTAATCATAATCTTAGAACGACACAGTGGGTAAGACCTACAGGGTAAGTCGCTATGGCAACATGTCATGCCTGTGAAATGAATATTGATATTAAGTTTTGCCATTTTCACAAAGAAAGAAAAATCATTTTTTAAAAACATTTTTTTTTACCCAATCATAGTTTTCTGGTTTGCCACTGTGGAGGGCATGTGTCATGCCTTGTGTCATGTGTCATTCTTAGCTTTGATTTTGATTGGTCGAATGTCAAATATAATAACTGTGAAATTGAATGATTCTTAAAATATTTAAAGAGATATCATTTGATATTTTTGGGCATTTTTAATTGTGTGTTTAATGTACGAAGTACGTTGAACATTATTTGTGACGTTTATCTCGCGTTATATCTCATAGACTCGCGTGACTAATTGATTACATGACGTCATTAGTTTGTTGTTTCGCCATCTTGTAACACTAGTTTGTTCGCGCTACTCTTCAGGAATTTATCACAATTTTAATTCCTCATTCCACGTCATGGAGAACACTACTAACGTTAGAAGAAGAGGCAGGAAGCGACGCACGGCCGGTGAACAAGAGCCACAAGTAGCAAACTCTCGTCAAGAAAGAGTCGAAGTTACCCCAAGTCGTCCGGGGCCCTCGACTCGCTCATTAGCAAGGCAGCGGCGTCCTCGAGTTTTGGACCAAGATAATCCTAATAATTGGTCGGCTGCGGTTTTGAGACAGAAATTAGAAGGGGTAGGCATAATTATGCATCACACGTCGTCCAGGAAAGTACTGATTCAGACATATAACATGAATAAGAGACGGAATGCTCCCTCTATATCGACGAATAATGCCAACATTCCTGAGCCCAATGACAAACACAATCAACTAGTACAGAGAT